TTTTGTTTTTTTTGAATGTCCAGAGGACCAGATTTAACTTTTTTAGATTTTTCTACCTGGATTATTGAGCATGCATCAGGATGTTTTTTGAATTGTTTGCAACATACAAAGAAGACGGCCGCAGCTAATTTGGCCCTCGTCAGGCTGCTGCCTATGTGAAGATTTGGTTTGTGCTTTGAGGACTCAAAATCAGCTAATTTACGAGCTAAACCACAAGATGGAAGTGATTTAAATCGCAGGCCACCTGCGGCTTTGGACTCAGCATGAAACGACCTTGAAGAGGCTCGTAAGCATGGACCAGTAGAATGCACCCTAATCTGGTCATTTTGGATCTTGTTAGTATCAGTAAGACTCAAGGCTGACAAGAAAAATAGTCTGCCTGAATAAATCAACAATTATGGCTTATCTGAATCTGACTCCCTGGTTGGCCTCGAAACAGGCCGACTTATCAACTCCCCCTCCACACACACACACTTCTGTGGAGGCTTATCAGAACTGTGCCGGCTGACCATCATCTTATCAGGAGAATGGACTATCTGTTAGTGCTTCATGGACCGCCTCATCGTCAAATGCATATGCAATGTGTCCATAAATGTGCTGCTGGCAGCGTTTTTTTAATGTCTTACATCGTGTCCTGTTAGGACCAGGTATGAAGAGATCTTTTTTTGTAATGCCACTATCCTCTCCCTCATGTCTTTGTCCCTTTTTCTATCTAGAAAAAAATGTATTCTGAAAAGGATAACCATGACTGTTGGAAAGCCTACGCATATCACAAGCCATTTAACTAACACAAGGGCATTATTAAAAAAGAACAAAAGTTAAATGATGTTGCTCATCAACTGGTTTTCTGCCTCAGAGCAGTGGATTTCTGGTATACCGTCAAGATGCTGTTACTGTGGGGTGCACTTCATGGACTCAGTGTTGCTGTAGGTCAAAAATGATTAAACAAAGCAAAAATCTGCATTCCCATAATCTATATACAATGAGAACATCCTAAACTAAGTCTAATGTCACCCTGTTTTGTATTCTGCCATGTACGGTACTTTGAAGGTCGCATAAAATGGATGAAAACGTAAAGAATCAAAGCATATTTTGTAAAGTCACGTCTTAAGATGTATACGACATATGGTGCAAGGACCGTATTGTGCATGTGATGGGTAAAAGAAGGGAAAGTTACTGCATACTACGGCATAAACGTGTACGTAAATGCCCTGTTTTTGTTACCGTGACGTTCTGCAGCAAATCTGTGGCATTTACAACAATCTTCTTGTTGTAGTTCTTTAGTTCTTTTAGGAGCCTGTGGTCATAATGTCTGAATGACAGAAAACTTTCAGCATGGTCTCACCCAGCATCCTCTGAGTCTTATTTTCATTCTTACCTTATGTTGCTCTACACTTGCAATTTGTCTTCTGTTCTTCTCAATAAAGCCCAAAGCAAAACCACAACAGCAAATTCCACATTTTCCAGCTTGATGATTTGGAGTGAACAACTAGAAAATCTTGGTTTTATACTGGACATAGTATGCAACCAGTAAAGGAAGAAAAAAAGGTGTGTAGCAGGTGGGAATCATAGAACACCAGAAAAACTCCCAACAATGCAATATGTACAAAGCAGCAACGTTACATGGTGAGCAATGTTAAGTTCATTTAGTACCAACAGTGTGCCAGAAATACAAAGGAATACACCACTGATAAAGAGCTCTAACAGGACAGATAGAAAAGGAAGACAAAACCAATCTGACATATAAAAAGGCCACAAACAGGCCACAATACTGAGGCTGTGGAGACAGTTTGCAAAGCGTATCATGAAACTGTGAAACGTTTTTGTCTGGTCACTGTTACATAACTTTTGTTATTACAGCATATATGTGAGGCATGTGCAACGTTTTAAAGTTGCTACAGTCCTACCACAGAATTTGTACATGTCCAATAAATTCGTGAGAACCTGATGTTGCTTGAGATCTATGCGGATAAAGAATCAAACACGTAAAACGATGCTGTTGTGGCATTATTTTCTTAAAGCCATTAATCTTAATACATCATAGAAAGGCAAACGGTTCGACTTTTGCGGACTCGCTCTATCGCAGTTTGTGGATGTACAGTCCATAATATTGTACCAAAAAATATATATATTTTTTTTACAGGACATGATTGTCAACTTTAATATTATTCACGTGATTGGGACAGTACTGGATACAGTATGGTACAGTAAAAAGTTAAGGAAAAAATAAAATACTTGGGACAGGCGCTGCCATTTTCTAGTTTTCTCTCAGTAAGCCTCCACTGTATTCCAGCTCATAACGACCACATGTCCCAGAAGCTCCGTTTCCTTCTGTCGAAAAACTAGAAGTAAAGTTTTGATCTGATCAGCATCCAGCGGATGCAGAGAAGCTGCACTGAACCCACCGAACTGGACCAGGACCAGATCAGAACCAGACCTCCAGACCTATTGGTGAATCTTGAGAGCTGGTAGCCGTCCCACATGGACTTCTAAGCGCGGATGTGCGCCGAAGGTCCAGAGCTGTTTTTGTAGCTCATTAGGACTTTTTTCATACAGACTTGGACTCATTCCATCACCTATGGTCCCACGCCAGCCAACAGAAGGTCTGACCTCCCCACAAATGTGCTTCGGCGCTCAAGAGCTGCAATGAACTAGATCAGAACTAGAATCGAATTTGTGCCTAAAAAATCCGACCCAACCCGGCCCCAGCCCAGAGCCATTTTTTTTCAAACCTGACCCGACAATTAACTGTAATTATAGGCCGAACCCGGAAAAAAATAAAAAAATTAATTTATATATATATATATATATATATATATATATATATATATATATATATTTTTTTTTTTTTTAAGCAACACTAACTCAATTACCAAAACAATCAAAATGAAAAATAAATAAATAAATGGATGCTAAAATTAAAACAAAACATACTGGGAAAGCTTGAAACAAACAAAAAAAAGACTGAAACTCTAAGAAGCGTATTTCTGTAGAAATAAAATAAATTCAGTAAGATGATTAGAATGACATAAAAATTATTTAGCCAATGCTTCAACGCATTAAGAGTTCATTTAAATTAAGCAAATGGAAATGGGAGCCAGATCAAGCAAGAAGTCTCATACTGGTATAAATTAAAATGTGGTGATAAAAACCAACCAAGCATTAAACCTTGATGCTTTTTGTCTTGAATAAATTAGTAAAAGTAGTAAACCTTGTCTTGAAGCTTTATTTTACACAACCATTCAGTCTTTGTTTGTTGGTAGAATTTGATATTGATTTAGCACTTCAAACTGTTTTGGTAGGAAAATTGTAAGTATAAAAAAAAAAGATGTGTTGTTCACCTTTGATTTATGGCACTGTTAACTTTGTAAAAGGAAATTGGAGGAGCACAGGGGTGGGTTTGCACATGGATGAATCCAACAAAACAACACTTTTATTTTCTCACCCTCATCGTTGCAAAGGGCCTGTCATAGCTGCCAACGTAGAGCAGGCCAACAGTCTGTGTTAGCAGCCTGCAAAGACAAAAAGATCACGGTTAACACCCCACAACACCCTCAGAACAGGATCTCAACATGAGAGCATGTGAGTGTTAAAGATAAAAAAAAAAATCACTACTCTGCTTCCATTTACCAGCTAGTAACAGAACGACAAAGATGTGAGATGACACCTCTTTGAGCCCTTCTGCGTCTCTGCACAGCTTGATATTCCTCAACCTACAGAGTGATCTACATTATGGGATGTTTACAGACCAACACTAATAATACAGCGAGCAGACAGACTACACAATGTCCTGAATATTATACAAGGCTTTCTTTGTGTTACAGCAGACTAGTCTCAACATTTTTCAAATGTCTCATGCGCTGAACTAACTGTTCTACAAGAGGTTATAACAAAACATGTTCAATATAAAATGAATAATAAAAAAGCCTGTTTCATGATAAAGTTACAAATGTCATTATCCAAGAGAACTATTAGGAGAGAAGGACTAAGACTGAATTCACAAAAGGAGCATACTATATAACCATTAGAAAAGGAAAGGCAGAATAACAAAGCAAACAAAACAAAATTGTGCTGTTCTTGTTGACAGATCTGCTACTGTACAATTTTGGAAAAAACAAACAAACAAAAAAACACTAGAGCAATAAAAGTGTGCTCATTTAACCATTTTAAGTGGTTTTGATCAATAGTTTTCAAGCTTTTGAAGTTATTTTTGTAGGATAGGTTGATTTTTTTTCCCACTTACACAATATACTTTACCATTTTCAGATGAGCGGTTCTTTCATTTATAGCTCACTTAACACTAAAGTTTCAGGTATTGAATAGTAAAACATAATTCTTACATTGTGTCTTAAGCCACTTTGTTCACTGGCAGCCTGCTTGTAATACACAATACATTTAGTTAGTTGCATCAATAAAAAGATTACCAGTAATTTGACAAACATAGGATTTTTGCACCAATGAAGATATTTGCTTTTTGCTAACAGCTTACAAACTACTATTAATGTTTTTACTTTTACCACTGTTCATATATCATGAAAATATTGGCCAACTATGAAACATCTCTCAGCTTGATATGCTTGAAAAATAAGAGCAAGAGGATTAGCAAAGGCAAAACAGTCTCTCCTCAAAATGGTCAGGACTAAAAATTTCAAATAGCTCTCTTGTATTGACCTAAACGGCTCTGAACTGAGAAATGATTTTGAATCAAATCCTGACCCCAAGAATCAAACTGAATTCTGTGCCACCTTCAGATTCACAAACCAAGAAAAAACAAACAAACAAACAAACAAACAAAAAAACAGGTTAAAAAAACAAATCTAAACAATAGCGATTTTCTAAAAATTTCCAGAGCAGAGTTCTGTTCCTTCCGAATTACCAACAGATGTCTTAATCACATAATTTTCACCACCTCCCCCCTCCAGCAAATGACACCACATGTGGCTGTTGTTTATTTCAGGCACCTTGTTTGCTGCTATATGTGCAAATGACTAAGTATACAAATGCTGGCACGGTTTTGTATTAGTCACCCATTTTTAGCACAGAAATAAGGGGTGTGCAGAGCTAAACTGACAGATAAACAACAGTGCAGCTACAGTCTGGTGCAGCTCTCAGAAATCTCAAATGGAGCTGAAATTGGACACCATCTTCCCAGCCATTCTCACCCCTTCCTGTCTAATGATAGCTAGCAGGGGGAGGAAGGAAGCAGCAGTAGACATTAAGGAGGCCAAATAGGCATACTTTAATGTACACCGTCTGATGCCATGCCAAGTTCATTCCCATCAATAGTTGTACTCAACCTTCAGGTCTTCAGAAAACTGCAGGATTCACAAACAAGAAGATTACCTTCATTTTGACAACTTCTCCTAAACAACAGCAAGTCAGTGTCATTTCCCAAAGGTATACAAAACAAAGTATAACAGATAAAAGTGTTTAAATCAGATAGCCACAAAGGAATGAATTCCTTTATTTATGTTTACAAGCTCTCTCACAAACATCAATTTCTACTCACGTCCTAAAAGCTCTGGGGTCAGGTGTGACGGTGAGTCCTGCAGTCTTAAATTACACTACAACATCAATTTTCCAGAGTCAAAGTGAGGTAAATTATGGTTAGAAAAAGAAACAACTAAAACATAAAAGCACAGATCAAACAAGATCCTCCAGGTAAAAAACATGGCAGAGCTTTCTGTGAGAAGAAAATGCACTTAAATGTCAAGGCAGCCTATGAACAGCATGATATCAACCTTTTATCACACAGCAGCAGAACAACCTTTCAAATGGTTTATGAATCTGTTGAATCAAAATATACAGATATCAAAACAAGAGTAAAAAATAGGTACAAGACCAGAAATGGTTGAGGAATAGTGGAAAAACATAATATTTTCACGACACATTGGTTTGAAAATGCATCATATTTTGTCAACCACTCATCTTAAAAATCTGTTTATGTTTCAGAGATGAGCAGCGGTTCATTGAGAATAGTTTGAGTTGTTCATTAAAGGGTGGTGAGTAAACCTATTGTGAGGCGAACCGTTACCTGTAGCTAAAAGCAGTTGGCATAATTTCAGAGCACAAAATAAGGTAGAAAGGCTGATACTTGATGAGCCAATCTAATAAATGCTCAGAATGAGGTCAGCAGAAGAGGGTTTGTTTTGTCATGTTTAACAATATTCAATTTAACAAGAGTACCACATACGGCACATTATATGCCTTTCAGCAAACTATTTTGCAGCAAAATGGCAATCTATAAAAATGGCCTGGACAACTGCATAACATTTGACATTGATTTGTGACTTTGACCTTGAAGCTGGGGGTGATGAAAAGTGTACGTGACACTCAGACTAATGATGATGCATAAGTGAATGAAGTTTTGTTGAATTACCTTGAGATCAGATGGTATGGGCTGCACAAGAGAAAGTTTAAGGATGGACGTCCAGATGGAGACTATACCATAATACACCCTGACTTCGACGGATGTATATAAACTCTAAAGTTTTAAAGCAAAATGAGCAAATACTATATTAGTGATTGTTTAAAATGTAGAGTGTGTTATAAAGTGAGAAAGTTTCCTGGAAGTTAAATGTCTTCAAATAAAAAAATAACAGTCCAGTTTTTTGTTTTTAAATTTTTTTTTAATATCCCATGTCCTGGACGACTGAGAATCTACACCATCTTAAATGTGATTATTAGAATTAGAATATTTTTACATTGCCACTTTAAACATGATGTACCATGTTTTTCCCCACATCTGAAAGCATGCTGAAAATCTAAATTCAATGGGTAAAATCAAAGATAAATAGGAATTAAAAACAAACATTTCAGAAAAAGTAATTTATGCAGTATCCTGCACGAATGATCCATTTAGTGTCAATAAGTTCCAAATATAAATTTAATTGTAAGTCCTTGTAAACCTACAATGATAAATTCATCCATCCATCTTCTACTGCTTATCTGTAGTCGGGTCATAGAGGCAACAGGTCCAGAGAGAAACCCAGCCATTCCTCTTCCAAGAGACACTTTCCAGCTCGTTCTGGGGGACCCCAAAGAATTCCAAGGCCAGAGAAGATACTGTACATCAACTCAATAACGACTCCTGGGTCTTCCCTGGTGCCTCCTACTAGTGGGACATGCCCGGAAAACATCTAAAAGGAGGCGTTCAGGAGACATCCTACTCAGATGCCCAAACCACCTCAATTGACTCCTTTTGATGCAGAGGAGCAGCGGCTCTACTCTAAGCTCTCTCCGGATGACAAAGCTTCTCACTTCATCTCTGAGATTGAGCCCGGCCACCTTAAGAAGGAAGCCCATTTTGGCCGCTTGTATATAGGATCTCGTTCTTTCGGTCACAATCCAAACCTCATGACCATAAGTGAGGGTTGGAACATAGACAGACCAGTAAATCAAGAGCTTTACCTTTCAACTCAACTCTTTATTCACCACGACTGACCGAAGCAACACCCTCATTACTGAGGATGAGGTCCCAATCCGTCGATCTATCTCCCACTCCATCCTATCACCACTCATGAACAAGACGCCCAGATACTCCTCCACTTAAGGCAAAGTCTCCCACAGACCCAGAGGGGGAATTCTACCCGCTCCCTTTCAAGAACCATGGCCTCAGACTTAGAGGAACTGACTCTCATTCCAGCCACTTAACACTCGGCTGCGAATCACCCCAGTGCATGCTGAAGGTCTTGGCCTCAAGATGCTAGGAGAACCACAACATCCACATACAGCTGAGAAGAGACCCTGAGGTTCCCAAACCAGACACCCTCATCTCCATGACTGTGCCTTGTGATCTTGTCCATGAAAATCCCAAACAGGATTGGAGACAAAGGACCGCTATGGCGGAGTCCAACCCGCACTGAGAACGAGCTTGACTTTGTGCCAAGAATGTGGGCACAGCTCCTGCTTTGGTTATACAAGGACTGGATAGCTCATAAAAGCATCCCAGGCACCCCAAACACCCGCAAAACCCCTCACAGAATACCTTAAGGAACACGATCATAAGCCTTCTCCAGATCCACAAAACATGTGAGGACTGGAGAAGCAAACTCCCATGGCCCCCTTAGAAACTTTGCAAGGGTAAAGATCTGGTCCACTGTTCCACTACTAGGACAGAAGCTACACTGCTCCTCCTGAATCCGAGGTTTGACAATCAGTCGGAACCTCACTTCCAACACCCTTGAGCAAACTTTCATGGGGAGGGAAAGAAGTGTGTTCCCACGAAAGTTGGAACTCGCTCTCCAGTCCCCCTTTTTAAAAATGGGAACTACTACCCTGGTCTACCACTCGTCAGACGTTGTCCCAGTCCTCCATGTGACATTGAAGAGACGAGTCAACCATGACAGCCCCACAACATCCAGAGCCTTCAGCATCTCGGGGAGACTCTTGTCCACCCCTGGCACCCTGCACCCTCCACAAAGAGCTTTTTGACTACTTCGGTGACCTCTGCCATGGGACTGGACTCATGTTCCCCCCAAATCCTCAGACTCTGCCTCCTCAAAGGAGGACA